GTGATCCCCTCCCATCCCTCCCTCCTCTCCACACCACTGGGCGTTTAGAACCACAGGAAAACCACACATGCACATATAGGCAAAACGATATAGAAAAGTGAGAAAAAATAATAGCAACTTACTTAAGGGGGAAACTGGTCCGCCTATTTCTTCGCATAATAGCATGTGTTAACCAATGCTTTAATATATATGTACTGTAATCATTATCTATCATGCAAACTGAATTAATAGATATACATGGCACAAAAATGTATCAGGCACCAGATTCTGGGTCTAGGAGGAATACAAAAAGTAATGATCATTTTAAGGAGCCTAACGGAGCATTTTGAAAATTGGGGCCTTTCTTGGAGTTAAAACTTTGGTAACTTTTAGGTATGGTTTTTAAGTACATCTGATACTGTAAACCCACTGAGAAAACTTTTGTTAGAAATTTTTTTGGGGGTCAAGCCATAATTTGCAGCGACTATGTAGTAAGGTGTAAGACTACTGAGGGTTCATGTCTTTAAAGACCAACCATCTGATTGCTGTAAGGAAGGTATCTGTTTTTAAAAAGCCCTAATGGATGGGAAGGGCAAGCTCCACTGTGAGAGAATGGTCGTCCTGTGCATTTTAAGGTTGACTGACATTCGCCCGGAGCAAAACTTTACCTCCCCCTTCCTTTAAGCTTCCCTCTTTCATATCAAACATCTTATTCACCCTGAAAATTCACATTTACTCTGCATGATATGACCTCCTCTTTCTGTCAGCTGCTGTGTTGACTGGTTGGAGTAACTGTGACTTATTAGTGTCAAAACCAATTCTTTAATTCAAACCAGTTGGAGTGATTGATTGACAGTGTGTTAATGTAGAATAAAGTGACAGTCCAGCCTTATGAAGAACAGGAAGAGACCAGAGAGTTAACAGGTAATGGAAATCAAAAACAAAATTAGATCAGAAATATATGCATTTTGTTCCCTCATAATTAAAAACTATGGTTAACATGTAAATTGTGCAACAGCTTTATAGTGAAAAAGCTTCATTGTTCCTGATTGAAAGCACTTTCAGGTGTTAATTAAATGACAATTTAATGCACACAACACATGCACTTCCTCATGCTGACCTCTTTTATGTAGAACTCAAAATCAACTTAGATTACTGAAGTGGTACTTTTGGTGATAGTTATTATTTTCATAATTGTGTGAAGAACGTGAATGTAACTATCCCAACCGTCACGCTAACTAAACACAGTACGCATAAAGACAGGAGGTCGACAGGTCTTTGGCTTTATGCGGTTTCACCCAGTTAGAACTAGTTTCCTGTCTTTGTTGAACCTGCATTTAGTTTCCGTCATATTCCACCTAAAGCTGCATAGCCTGTGACTCTCATTTTTCCCCATTGGGCGTAGCATAGCTAAACTGGTGACATGTTAACCTGCACTTCACCCATGTTCGCGCAGTTTGATTGTCATCTAACACATTCCTGCGATGACAGCCTTCCCTGCTTCCTTCACAGCATCTGTCCTGCAGTCATTTGACTTTTGAAAGCTACAAACAATCAAAATGTGGGACAGTGGGATCTCAATATATGGGATGAAAATGCTGTGCAGAAAATGCATTTCCCACTTATTCTTCTTCTTCCAAATGTACTTTGGATAATTATAACCTGCAGATTTGCAGATAGACACATAATTAAAATGTAACTATAACTATAACAAAAGGTTGCCTCACTGCAACCTATGGTCTCTTCAAAAGTCTGTCAATTTTTCAAAATGTGCAAAATCAACTAACATCTATATCTCCACAAGTCTTGATTCAAATGCTATCAAAACCCACACAGACATTTTTTCATTGTTTCAAATGCCATTCAGTTCGGTCAAATCCAGTCCACAGTGACTATAAATGTCTTACTGTAATTAGTACTGTACGCACAATATTTACATAATAATAATACTAATATTAATAATAACATTATTATTTGACAATATCTAAGTTATAGAGGTCAGGATGTAGATACAGGGCAGAAGTCAGTAATATAGATAGAGGGGATAGGTTGCTCTGTAGATACAGGGCATAGGTTAGTGCTATAGGCAGAGGTCAGTGTGGTAGATAAAGGACAGAAGTCAAGGCTGTAGATTCAGGGCAGAGGTGTATAGTGTAGTATTATAAGATAAAGATAAAGTCTTTTTTATTGTCATATTCACAGGATATACAGCATTTAACATACATGAAATGAAACTTGTCCCTCTGCATTTGACCAATCATATATACATTACTATATACATTAGGAGCAGTGGGCAGCTGTAGGTGCCCAGGGAGCAGTTAGGGGGTAGGTGCCTTGCTCAAGGGCA